AGAATTTCCCGCAAAATAGAAGTTGCTCAACGAAACTGAAACTGGGAAGTTAAAGTTCATCACGGCGGATGTTCTTTCAACTCGTTTGCGTTCCAAACAACCCAATGAAATCCAGCTTGCTCGAATCTTTTGCAATAAAAATAAGTGTCACCCAATAATAATAAAAACATCAGTGTCACCCAACGTGTTAAACAGTTTCGAAAATATCTCGCGCAAAGAACAGTATCGAATTGCAGGAGTAACGCCGGGACCAAAACCGAATGGAATTAACCCGAGAAAGATAACCTACGTCGCAGAGGCGCCTGCGAAGACTGTTGATTTTTGTTAATTTTTCATAGAGGTCTAGTGATTTAAGTTTAAAATTACTTAAAATATAAAAAAATATAATATAAATGCATTTTACTTTTACGATAATGCCAAACCTTTAAAATGACTAGATTAACTTAAATAAATATCCATTGTTAGTATAAAATTGACGCCTTAGAAAAGCATGCGCCTCTGAAGCGTATGGTTATCTTTTACGTACGTTGTCATATGGTTATCTTTCTAGGGTTAAACTAAAGGACGAATTGACGTGTACGATAAAAATAATGGGAACGGTTGACAAACGGGATCGATATGTCTCAAAGTTGCGCGCCGCGAACCCCCGTTTTGTTTTCCTCCGGCAAACGGACGCGTGCAAATTGTTTCCACCGCATTATCGAGGATCAAGGAAATTCCGCCGATAGTCTATCTCATTTACGAGCTTTAACGATCCCTCCACGCGGCCGCCGTCGTCTACACACACGAGCTGTTCGTCATTCTCGGCGGAAACTAGCGTTACAAACACTAGAGTCCGAGCCTTTGACTCGTGCATTACGATTGCTAATGGTTCCTCTGTTCTTCGTGCGGTGTTGGAAGATTACTTTCATCCTTTCGCAAAGACACGGGGGTAAAAGAACGTTAAGACATAATGGTTCGAGGAATAGTTCAATGAAATTTGTCTGTTACACATGCTATGTCCTGCAGGCAATTCGTTCCATTTCCGCTTGCTACTATTTATCGTAATGAGCAGACCGCGGATTTTATGCATTTATAATAAAAACAAGTGAGTGGGAGACAGAGTGACACCGTTTAGAAAAATGTAACGTTTCCATTTGTATTATTTGGAATTTGCTAAAATTATTCAAGACGGAAATATGTAAATGTGCACGCAGTTCCTGCATAAATGCATAAAATTCGCAATATAGCGATAAATGATCCCATCTCTGAGATCTAATAAATATGTATTTTGAAAATTAAGTGGATCGAATAAAGGTTCGAGATTTTAATATTCATAATTGCTCGGCTGTGAAAATGTAAGTCATTGTTTGAAATGCAGAAAAAAGTAGTAATTATTAGGTGCAAGGTCGGGGCAGTAAATTGCTACAACTCCTGAACTGTTATCAGATGATTTAAATCACAGATGGTAGCACTTTTTCAAGGCTTCCTTAGGAAACTAGAGCAAAATGATTATCGAACAGCCGAATATAAAATTTTATATAAAATCTTTGGCATGTAAACTAAAATTTTTAAATCTTCTCAGTCTTTAAGCCTATAGTTATGGTTTCAGTTTATATTTATCCAAAAATAAAACATGTATTCGATATCCCACCATTCCATCGTGCAAAATCATTAAAAAAAGAAGAAACACAAACGATGGCCGATAAAGCGAAGGCTTCTATTTTCAAAATAAGCCCAAAATTATTACTTAATAATTCTTCGAAGATCGAAAGTGTAGTCTCTTTGATGCCATGTTCGCGAATTAGGTTCGTGTACTCGTTCAAATAATTTGAAACGAATCGAACCGCGGCGAACGTTTTCAATTGTATAATTGCTACAGATTTACAGTCAGTACCCGATATTATGGTGCTGGCACGTTAAAGGTTGTTTTCGCACGACCGGCGCACCGTGATGGTAACTTAATTCGCTCGGCGTCGAAGATTTACAGCCGAGGGAACACGCGGCGATTCGAGATTCGGGATACATAATGCGATGTGTACCGTAGTCGCGGAAAGTGTGGGCAAAACAAAAAGGAAGCGGAAGAAAAAAGGGGCTCGTTGGAACGAGGGGCGAGGTTCCAAATGACCGACATATTTAAACGAAGGGTGCTGGTGCGTGCGCCTCTGCAACGTAGACGAGAAAACTTGTTGCNGTTAAACAGTTTCGAAAATATCTCGCGCAAAGAACAGTATCGAATTGCAGGAGTAACGCCGGGACCAAAACCGAATGGAATTAACCCGAGAAAGATAACCTACGTCGCAGAGGCGCCTGCGAAGACTGTTGATTTTTGTTAATTTTTCATAGAGGTCTAGTGATTTAAGTTTAAAATTACTTAAAATATAAAAAAATATAATATAAATGCATTTTACTTTTACGATAATGCCAAACCTTTAAAATGACTAGATTAACTTAAATAAATATCCATTGTTAGTATAAAATTGACGCCTTAGAAAAGCATGCGCCTCTGAAGCGTATGGTTATCTTTTACGTACGTTGTCATATGGTTATCTTTCTAGGGTTAAACTAAAGGACGAATTGACGTGTACGATAAAAATAATGGGAACGGTTGACAAACGGGATCGATATGTCTCAAAGTTGCGCGCCGCGAACCCCCGTTTTGTTTTCCTCCGGCAAACGGACGCGTGCAAATTGTTTCCACCGCATTATCGAGGATCAAGGAAATTCCGCCGATAGTCTATCTCATTTACGAGCTTTAACGATCCCTCCACGCGGCCGCCGTCGTCTACACACACGAGCTGTTCGTCATTCTCGGCGGAAACTAGCGTTACAAACACTAGAGTCCGAGCCTTTGACTCGTGCATTACGATTGCTAATGGTTCCTCTGTTCTTCGTGCGGTGTTGGAAGATTACTTTCATCCTTTCGCAAAGACACGGGGGTAAAAGAACGTTAAGACATAATGGTTCGAGGAATAGTTCAATGAAATTTGTCTGTTACACATGCTATGTCCTGCAGGCAATTCGTTCCATTTCCGCTTGCTACTATTTATCGTAATGAGCAGACCGCGGATTTTATGCATTTATAATAAAAACAAGTGAGTGGGAGACAGAGTGACACCGTTTAGAAAAATGTAACGTTTCCATTTGTATTATTTGGAATTTGCTAAAATTATTCAAGACGGAAATATGTAAATGTGCACGCAGTTCCTGCATAAATGCATAAAATTCGCAATATAGCGATAAATGATCCCATCTCTGAGATCTAATAAATATGTATTTTGAAAATTAAGTGGATCGAATAAAGGTTCGAGATTTTAATATTCATAATTGCTCGGCTGTGAAAATGTAAGTCATTGTTTGAAATGCAGAAAAAAGTAGTAATTATTAGGTGCAAGGTCGGGGCAGTAAATTGCTACAACTCCTGAACTGTTATCAGATGATTTAAATCACAGATGGTAGCACTTTTTCAAGGCTTCCTTAGGAAACTAGAGCAAAATGATTATCGAACAGCCGAATATAAAATTTTATATAAAATCTTTGGCATGTAAACTAAAATTTTTAAATCTTCTCAGTCTTTAAGCCTATAGTTATGGTTTCAGTTTATATTTATCCAAAAATAAAACATGTATTCGATATCCCACCATTCCATCGTGCAAAATCATTAAAAAAAGAAGAAACACAAACGATGGCCGATAAAGCGAAGGCTTCTATTTTCAAAATAAGCCCAAAATTATTACTTAATAATTCTTCGAAGATCGAAAGTGTAGTCTCTTTGATGCCATGTTCGCGAATTAGGTTCGTGTACTCGTTCAAATAATTTGAAACGAATCGAACCGCGGCGAACGTTTTCAATTGTATAATTGCTACAGATTTACAGTCAGTACCCGATATTATGGTGCTGGCACGTTAAAGGTTGTTTTCGCACGACCGGCGCACCGTGATGGTAACTTAATTCGCTCGGCGTCGAAGATTTACAGCCGAGGGAACACGCGGCGATTCGAGATTCGGGATACATAATGCGATGTGTACCGTAGTCGCGGAAAGTGTGGGCAAAACAAAAAGGAAGCGGAAGAAAAAAGGGGCTCGTTGGAACGAGGGGCGAGGTTCCAAATGACCGACATATTTAAACGAAGGGTGCTGGTGCGTGCGCCTCTGCAACGTAGACGAGAAAACTTGTTGCTCGCGCATATCGTAGGCAAAAAAGAATCGAATTACCATAAATCAAATCGCTCGATCGGGAGAATCCGACATGTATTCTCTTTCGCCGTAGAATTTATTCTACGGTGTACAAAATCTCTTCGTTAACATCAAATTCCACGAATACAGCAAATTTATGTTTTTCCATTAAGAGCATAAAATTATAAATAAAACGTACAGGTTTGAAAACTGTCATTTCAATTGTACATACATGAAATTTTGTTGATTACATGATAAAAATGCACGGAAATTTTTACGTAATGTACGTACGATTATAGTTTTCACGTATTTTTTTCCACATTAACAGTTCTATTTACATCGTAAAACTGTTTCTAACGAGTCTTCTAAAATAACGCGTTTTCATGGAACTTTTGTTACATAAATTCTAGAATATTTGTTCCATGAGATAAATAAATAAATATTCATAATAAATACAAATTCTTATAAATAGATATTCGATCCCCGAATACCACAATTTCATGAAATTGTTGAGATCGTTAGCGTGGAAGTCAACGCGTCCAAGTTGCCTCTCGAAAAAGCAACATTTTTGACAGAAGAGAAAAGCAACTTAAAAGTACATGTGCAACGCGCAACAGAAAATCGCGTGCGCGTGGACGCTTTTCGCGCATCGGGTGACCAGCGTAGCAGCGAACGAATAAGTATTCGAGGCGTGTTCGGTTATCATTCGATGCCTGTTAATTTCACTTCCATCTCAGCATCGACTGTTCCTCAAACAATATACCGGAACGGTTCCCCCGGCTTTCATTCGTTCCGGCAATTTAATATTCATTGAATCATAGAAGAAGAATAAAACAGAGACTCACCGGTGCTGGCAGCGGACTTGCTGAGATCGAATCCTTCCTGTTTGGGACTGGTGTTCGCCTCCTGCTTCGGGTGCTGATTGTGCGCGGAAAATGGCGTGTGGGGCGCGCTCAGAGGTGTCTGCGACTGATGAGGATGCACCGGCGGAGGTTGAGCAGTGTTCTGCGGCTGCGACTGCTGGGACTGGTGGGATTGGGGGCTTCTCGGTAACGAGGACACGCTGCTCGGCCTCGAAGGTGGAGAGACCTTGTGTGTCAATGCCAAAGCTTGGCTCTGCAATTCGTAATTTCATCCTTGTTGGTTAATCTTGACGAATTAGCGGAACGATTTTTCAAATTAACGACAGGCTCGCAGTTCTCGGAATTTAACCACGGAGCCGGAAAATGGTTCCTTTTAATACGATACTCTGTAAATTTCGGTATGAATGAAACTCGATTCTCCGAGAATTGACAGGAAACATAAGGAGCGTCCGCGTCGTCGACGCTGCGATTTGACGTCGACCGCCGATGCTCAGGGATGCTTTCTAGCGGCCCCTGAAAAGGCCCTCTTTTTATATAAAAATATAGTTTTCCATACCTTAATTTGCACTTTCATTTGCCTCCTTATTTCCGCTATGTTATAATAATATTAACGATATCCAATTAACAATATTACATGAATATGGAGGATAAGTAATTTTTGATCTGTAGAAAATTGGCTTTTTTCCTACTATGCAGGGCTCTCTCGACACTGTATTTCGGCCCTGGCCTGCTCGCGTGCTGCTGGTTTACATTTCCTGCCACTTCTCGGCGAACGCGGTATAGTTTCAATCATTTTTCAATAATTCATCAACTAACAAATTAAAGATTTAACACTAAACCGACCCTACCGGTCACTGCGATCGATTCTACAGTTTTTATTTTTAATAAATCATTGAAATTAACGGTGACTGTCTAATTGAAAACGATCGAATAAACTTCTTAACTGAAGATTACGTTAACGCAATAATTAATTTCATAAAAATTAATTTCATAAATATAGATTTTTATCGTTTATTATTACATTTACTGACGAGTTTGGAAATTTATAATAATAGTATTTTGGGCATTGAGAGAACTATATATATATCTTATTGCACAATAGAACTTCGCTTTCCCGTATAAGCGCGAATCAGATAAATTAAGGTCTGACAGGAAATGATTAAAAATGCATCGCCTATATAAAGTTCGTTCCGCGAATGACAAAAAGCACATGCTTCACGACCCAATTATTTGAAATCCAACTTATAAATAGGCGCTGCCGCATTTTATATCATCCTAATTTCTGCTACACTTACCCTTTCTTTCCGATCGTTTTAAATTATCTGTTTTTACGAGATCATCGGTTCCATGAACAATGTAACAAAATTGAAGATCGCGCGTTAATTTTGTTCCGTATAGATTATTCCACTTCGAAACCGTTCAACAATTTTAGAACCGGCAAACTAAAAACTGGATAATAATTGAGTTCTCAGCATCGTACAAATATATTTCAAAACGATATAAACTATAAATAATGTGCGAAAATGAATCAAAAGGACAATGTTCGCGTTTCAACGAAGTAGAGACAAATATTACAACAATGATACGTATTCTTCTGTCATTCACGTGTGTTTAATTACGTTTATGTGGTCGGTTCCATTATTTTATCACTGATTTTACATAAAGAATTTCTGTTTAACTGAATATTTTTCAAGTGAAAGTAAGAAATTGTATAGACAGCGGAACACAAATGTGTAAGAGCTGAAAGTCTTTTAATAGCAGACATTGTATCTTGCCCAGCACCATATATGTGCATCGTGAATACTTTTCATTCTTATTTTATTGCTCGTTACGCTCGTTACGCGTGATACGCGTAAAACTGCAGGCGTGGTAATCTCCACGGAAATAATAGAAATCCAGAGTTGCTCTTAATCTGCCTCGAAAGTCCTTGACATACATTGCTTTTGGAGCAACTCCCCGCACATATTTTGCGCCCATTTAATGTATAGTAATTCCCCTAAGTACGGTTAAATTCGATTAAGCGATTCGCATCATTGTTTTGTCTAATCAATTAATAATACAATTAACGTGACTTTTCTGTAGAATATACTATACCTATATATAAATATAGTTCGAACAAATTATTCGCACTCGTTTCTGCTATTTAAATTTATCATCCCGAAATTTTGTGTAAATAATTTCTAGTAAATATTTGGAGAATTATTATCTCGAGAAAATAGCTTCCGCCTCGAAACGACGTGAAATTTGCAGAGCAGTATTTCAATAGTTTTAATATACGCCGAGAATATTTTTAATACCGCCGCTATAACATAAGGCAACTTCTCGATCAATATCTTGATTTAGCAGTTAATTGCCGAGCAGAGTGCCAGAGCGTTCGCAGTTCTCGACGTTAATGGTTTCATCCCTTAAAATAAAGCATAATAAATAATGGAACGTACAATAAGTATAGAGATTCTATCCTGAACGAATTCCACTTGCGAAAACTGTATTCCTATGATTCAACAAAAAAATGGCGTACTCTCAACCGAACTTATGAGCATATCAAAGAAGAAACAGATTAATTTGTAACATCTTCGATCTACGAAACTATGCAATTCGTCGTTTAATCTGTTCCTGATAATTAAATTATTAAATGCGTTGGTCACAGCGAGGATAACTGCACTTTTATCGCATTCGAATGGTCGAGCATATTCTATCAATTAAATACAGTCACCGATGACAAGTTCTGATTTGAAACACTAGAAAGACTTAAAAAGTGGAAAATATCTCAAGATGGTATTTTCGTTCGAATAAAATTATTGTAGAAATGAAAGATTTCCAAAGTGACTTTTGTACATTTATGTTAAAAATAATTGGATGAAACGCGGAATACTGAAAGTATCCGAAGAATTTAAGCATCCTATTATCTTAAAATTAACTTAATGCCATTAATAATTCCTTCTATTATATATAATCTCATGATGTAGAATAATTTATAATTCTCATATATATATATATAGACAATGTTCTCTAAGGAATTTAGAAACCAAATGCAATATCTGTTTAATAAAAGCTTCATGTAGCAATATTCGGTTTATTTATAAGTAAACCATTCGGTTGGAAGCAACGTTAAACAAATAAATAACATTAACGTCATCAATTAATTTAATTTACATTAATTCGAAATACTGGGAAGATTTTAAAACTAGGAAAATGTCAATATCATATTTTCATCTTGCTGAAATTTATTACAGAAACGAAAGATGGAATTGCCATTAGAGAGAAACCAGCAATCAATTGCCCGCGTTTAATAATAGATAGGAGAGGATCGACGTAATGATTTCGTCATTAATTCCGTCGAAAGGAGACCGTACGAGCATAGTCGAATCTGCGACGATTCGGTCGTATCGAACGAGCCGGATGATCTAAGCGTTGTCGCCGATGAAATCTGAACACGTGCTCAATTCCGACAGCGCGGCCTGCTAAGGCATAAGCGCGGACTTAGATTTATGTATGAGTGAACTGAACTTAACACTAACGGCTAAGCCGTTCGCAGTGTTAACGAGGGTCAAGTGGGCCCAGAATGCGACAATCCTACACTATAAGACCGAAGTGCGAAATGCACCGCGCCGGCGGTTTTCGCCGTCTGAAAACTGGATCGTCGATGACGCTTCCGTGGAACTCGATGATCGAGCTAACGGGAAATCGTTTACCCCCTCGCACGACTGTCTTCTCATCCATCTGACGGGACTGGTTTTAACTTATTATTCGACCGGCACAATGTTATGAAAAAAGAAAACGATTCCGTACCTCTGAGGTGGTACCATCGAAGCTCGAAGATATTTTGGTTAATCTGATTCGAATACCACGTGTGCTCGACGAAATTATTCGTTGCCGATCGTTCATTCATCCTCGAACAGATGCGTCTATCTTCGAGACAAATTTCAATGTATTATTTTCTGTTTTATCGTATTTCGTTTTAAAGCAATTATTTTTCTGTTCTGGAAATGATTGACCATTGAACCGCGAAAGTATTACAGACTGTAGCGTACGAATGTTTCGTAATCTGCTGAAATTATGCTTGACAAAGTTTTATTATTGCAATTAATTTTTTTGTTATGGAAATGATTGACCATCGAACACTTTCCTCTCTCTCTCTTCTAAAATATTACGAGAAGTGATCGATGATTTTTAATCTACTCTTCATGAAGTACTATTTTACTTCGGTGCATAATATTGAAAAAGTGCTTCGTGTAATTACTTCAGAGGAGGGGCATATTGTCTATCGTACTCAATCATTTTCATTCATTTTCACTGCATTAGATTTTCTATGCGACATTTATTTGTACTTAGATTTGTACTGAATGTACATTTGAATTAATTTACGTAATATGTGCTATTAAATATTCATCTCTTTGCTAAGGAAAGGCTAGTATGACGTGTACCGTGTCCGCGTGTTACAGAACGTACAAAAATAAGAATAAGATACGATTGAGATTACTATGATACTAACAGAATATTAAAAGAATAAAACAAAAACTTAAGAGCTATCTATGAAATCATTTATTACAATGTTTTATAATAAACGATTCCACGGATTTTTAGTTAACAATTGCAGTATCTTTTTTTAAAAGTTTCCTTCCTTCATTTTTGTAGTAGTCTTTGATTCGTATTCAAACCGTTAGAGTTTTTACACAGCAAATTTTGTTTCACGTTTAAAGTACAATATCGGTGTATGTTTTATATTGATCGGAAGAATCAATCAGTAAAAAAATAAGAGCAATACATATGTATCTATGTACACGAACCTCTTTTCATGCTTCTAAATATACATTAATTTCGATGATATCTTCTGATTGATTAAATAAGAAAGATCGTAAAGCACTCTTACATTGTTCCCTATAAGTGAAGTGCCTGGTTTCTGCTACTCCATTACGGGCGAAATGTTGCTTTTTCTAGATTGACAGATCAATCTTTCGATAAGATTACGTCAAGTCTTCCAAAAAGAGTATTTCGACAGCAAAACAGAGCCGACACTTTTACCAACGTAGCTTAATGAAATTCTTATATATTTTGACGATTGAAAATAATTGTGTTACTAAAAACTGTTACTCATTCATTTATGTTTACTATAATACTCATTATCTTGAGACAGAAACGAACGCATCGAACTTTTCGCCGTGCCGTATCGGTGGACTGTAATTGTAACGTAACATCAGATTCAATTATTGAACTATCAGAAAGTGGGCGTGTAAAAAGATTTCGCCTTTAATT